TGTGTGTGTGCATGTGTGTGCTGTGTCAGCATCCACTCAGGACTTCATCAAACACCCCCCATACCTCAACTACACATACACATACACATAAAACGCCCACATCAGCCAACACCCCTCAACCAGTCGCTCATTTTCACTTTCCCCTTCTAACCCACCACCACTATCACACACACACAACGCCTCCTTCCTCCCATTCTACGCCATCCCAACAAGGATGTTAAATACCATTCAAATGTCAGCCTGCCGTATTGATTGGAATGATAATTCTGAAAGGTAGGAGAGATGTCTTGTTGATGCTAAGCAGGCGCGTGACGGCCCAAGCATCCTTCACTGTCACAAAGTTGCCATGTAAGGGTTCCCGGCTCCCCCGGCAGAATGTGGATGGCGGTTTATGTTAGACCACCGAGGCCGTGTGTTTCTGTCATTAATCATTGTCCTCACGGAGCCGGTGACAGGCAGACCAGGATTCATGTTGAGAGAGATAGGGTCATTTTAAACACCCTCAGATCAGTCTGTGAGTGTGTGTGCATGAATGTCAGACCAGAGGCTACAGTCATCACCAGGTGGTTTTCCTTTATATGTCACGTTTAAGAAAAGACATTCAACGATATGGCTGTTGCTTTATCATTAAAAGTATGATCTGCTAAACATATATTTTATTATTGATTTGTTTTAACTGGTGTAATTTCAACAGACGATATTGCTGTGGGACATGTGATTTCTATGAACAAACTGTTCAGTCTGTAATTCGGCATTTTAACAGAGAGAAAGGGTCAGTTCACCCATTTCCACTTACACCCAGAGGCACCTATTTATGTGTTGTGCAGTTTTATGTGCAGATGTTTTCAGATATATTTCTGCTGCTATCCCAATACAATGGGTGAATGGGATTTTGTTTCAGGCTCTAAAGAGCTCTAAAGCTTTGAAATATGACCTTTGAAAACTGTAAATAGTTTTTGCTAAATCTACATCTTGCTGAAAAAATAGTCCCTGTGAAAAGGCTTTAACTTCTTCCATCCTTGTCGTTGCGCAATCTTCTAAAGTAAAATGTCTCCACCATAAGTCTGCCTCTGGTGGGAAACATTTTACTTTAGAAGATTGCGCAACAAGAAGGATCGTGTGAGCTTATTGCATGTCACACTGTGTAAAATGGGTCTAATAAAATCTGTGTCAGAATTTAAAGCATGTCGGATTCTGTGATGAATGTTTGGTGGTGAAAAGTAGCGCTATGACGTAAATACAAAAAAGTATAGAGGGCAGAGGCACATCATCAACTCACATCCTTTATCTGTTTTGAAAATGCAGCAAAACAACTCACAAGCTTTCACACCTCCGCAAGGTTTTCTTCTTTGCTTGTTTACTTGAGTTGTGTCTGTGTTTGTGTGTGTTTTTTTCCCCTACACTTTATGCAAAAAGGGCGCTTACACAATGTCTCGCCAGTCAGTGTATTCTGTGTCATTGCATGACGTATTCTGAGTGGTTGGTTTGTGGTCATAGCAGCAGTCGTAGTGTGAAAATGTTGTCCTAAATTTCTGAATTTGGCTGCCAAAATGAAAAAAATAAATAAAAGGATTTTTACGCAACATAATTACCATTTAACTCTCATTTTGTAAATGTGTGGTAGTTTTGTTCCAAGTGAATTCTGTTTTTATGTTAAAAGTTAAGAACGTGTATGAAGGCATTTAATTAAAAATGTTGATCCCTAATAAAGTCATCATTGACCCTCACCTGGCAGGTACCTCGATGTTGGAGATGGCATAGAAGTACTTGAGCAGGTTGTCTCTCTGGACATAGGTGCCTCCGAGGGCAGGCCTGAGAAGCCTCAACCTAAGGTTGGTGAAGGTGAAGAAGTCCCTCAATCCCTTCATACTTTCCATACGAGTGTACAGGCTGTCCATGTTCTGTAGCCGTGGTCCTGCAAACACCGCAAAGCGCGCCCGCACCTCAAACTTCACATTCTTGTCGTTCTTGGAGCCGACCCAGCGCGAGTACTGCTCGGTGCAGATGACCCGTGTGATGTTGGCGGGTGAAAGGTCACGCACACGTTTGGGTGGCATGTTGAAGGCATCCATGCAGTCATCAGCGTAGAACTGGTAAGGCTGCCAGGAGCGTCCGTTGTCCATGGACTTTTCCATTACCATGATAGTAGGACGGCCATACTCAAAGGTGATCTGTATGTCGTCTGTGAGTTCCAGACTCTTGTTCCAGGACATGGTGATGTTGGCCAGCAGTGGTTCTGGGTGACGTCTCCATGTGACTGTCTGCCAGTAGGTGATTAGGCCATTACGTTCACGGTCCTGCATCAGCTGAGGAGGGTGGGCCAAGTCTGGGTTAGAGGCGTCACACTCGTCACTACACAGGTATGGGTTCTCCTAAAAGAGAGAGACAATAAAACATCAGTCAGGGTTTGAGAATGAATCTAAAGATAGCAGCCTTTAGATATCAATACTATATATTTATAAACAAGTCACAGACTCTTGGAAAGATTAACCTACTCAGGGTTTGGGCCCCATCTCCTAGATACCCCTGCTGTTTGTGGTCATGTGTATGTATCCTGTTGCAATTAAGCTTCATTTTATTCTACCCAGAACCCCTAAAACCAAAAAGCACTCCAATGTCGGTTGCTTGTTGTTACTTAGTTAGTGGTAATTTCAGTGAACACAATATTCTAAAATACATTATAAATTGATGTAATAATGGAATTAAAGTTAAATTTTGACACACAGCCTGAAGACTGGTTAAAAGAACAGGAGCCATCTTAATGCCCTTATTATTTCAGTGTATAATATGCTTTGATGGCACGTATTTCCCCTCAAAAAATTGCAATTAGTCAAATGAATACAAAGTAATTGCCACACAGTGAACATGGGGCCTTTGGGGCAGTTGCCTACTTTGCCCATTTGGTAATGCTGCCTTGCACAGACATGGTCAAAACTGTAATTTCAGCTAAAACGTCTCAATTGATAATAAAACAAAATGTCTTGCAGCAAAATTTGTAGCTCAAGGTCTCAGTTAAGGCAACTGAAGACAATCTTGAGCTGAGGAATTACAATGTCTCCACCCAATCTAAAGTATGGATGTTCCCCTTTATGTGATCATATTTCAGTTTTTCTGCTGTGTCTATGACTCGCCACAAAAAACATCCATATTGTTCCCACAAAGGGTGGTGAGTGCCTTTAAACCCTTGCCAAGCCACTGAGGGACAGAGAGCTTAAAAGTAAACTTGCCAAACAACACAACAGGAAGTGTGAAGGTCAAGAGGATCGTGCATCATCACTGTCTTTGCATAGACAGCAGTGCTGCTGCACTTTTAACTCCAGAGAATTGATCCTCCTCTTCTAGTGATGCCAAGACTTTCAAGCTGCGGCCCCTCCACACAACTCAGAAGTCAACGGGATTATTCACACTCCTCACAGAGGAGTACAGGCCTCTTCCTACCTGCACTCAGAAAAGCCTTTCACTCTCACTCACAAGATTTCAGGCCGCTCCTTTTTGTCGTTTTGTACCAAGAAAACCAATTCATTATCTGTTCATTCAGATTCCTACATTTCTAAGTACCAAACAATGTCAGGTCCTGTACCTCCCGTGACCCAAATCGATAGTCCACCAAACTTCAGATAACTTTTCTAAATTTCCACTTGCCAGAATCCTTAATTCCACAGTCGTTGGCTCATCATATTGAGACATTTGCAGACATTTCAGTAAAATGAATGTAGCTTACTCTTGTAAGCCAGTTGTCTGACATCTACATCACCACAGAAGTTAAATATTTGCACAGAGAAATCCCAGAGATCCTCAGTCATCTCTCCTGGTGCTTAATTTGCAAAATGCAGCTGCAACGCTGTTTAGATTGTATCACATTGAGAAGGCTCCACATGCCCCCAGGATGTACTAATTAGACTGATAAGGGGTTATTATTTTCTCCAATATTTAGTCATACAGTCATTTATTCTATCAAAGCGGTCATTATTTGTATTATTTGTAAGTATTTATCATACACTGGTTCATTTCATTAAATTTAAAGTAGACACATTTGTAGCATTACTCGAAAATCCAAGCCCCCGAACTGTCACTTACATCTATTAACATCTATTAACTGATTAGTTTTCTGCTGTTACATTTTATTTAGGTCAAGAATTAGCAGATGCAGATGTCCATGATATTTCCACTCAACTGTGTTTCCAACCTCCTCTCCTGTTTTCTACACTTGTACACAGTAACTGATTAAATTTTATAGCATTTTTATCTTTCTTTTATTTAATGGGAATCCAATAGCCTTTCTGAATTTTACTGCATTCTGCTTAACAAGCTCTTGATGGAGTGCAGAGCATGTCTTAAAATATCCTTCTTTTTTCTTCCACCTCCGCCTCCTCTTCCTCTCTTTCTTCCTCCCCTTTCTTCTTTGTTTTGTTCCTTTTATTATTTTTGCTCTCAGTGTTATTACCACTTCTAATTGAAGTGTTTAAGAATGCGACCAGCTCATCTTAAAATGCTGTTTGGTAAGGTAATAGAAATTATGTCGACAACAATAACTAAAGAAAAAAGCAGATTTATTTCAGTGATTATTTGGGGATTATTTTTAGATATTTGAATAATATATGACAAAGAACAAATGACAAACAAGAGTTAGAGGCAAAGTAGTCGAAGTAAAGACTCAAATCTAAGCCCCGTTGACATGTTACAAATGAATAAAAGCAGCAAATCATAATGTCAGTTTGGTATGTCTCTGACATTGCAGAGCACTGGCCCCTTATTTATCAAACTTTAGAATTACACTCAAGGACGCTCCTCAAAAAAGTCAATTTACAAATAAAAAATTATTCTGTGCAAGTGAATAATAAGACAAACAAGACTCTACTCCTACTTACACCAGAGAGTTTAAAAGCAGCTTTCAAGTGATCATATGTATGCTCAAAGCATAAACAGCCATTTAGAGACAATTTACTCTATCAATACCTTGATGTGATCTTGTGATTTTGTTTATGTAAAATCCTGTTTATGTAAGATATAAACAGGGATTATATATTATATAAATATAGGAAAATTGGCTCAATGGAAACAAAATAAATTCAGTGTGCCACATTGAGGAATATAGCCAGTCAAAATCAAACGCTAATGTTAAGCTAAAACTATTCTGAATTACACATATTTCTTCATTTAACATATTATTCACCATGACTAATGTTTCCCTAATGCAGTCGTCTAGGATCTGTCTTATCCACTTTGAGCTCTCTGAAAGTGCTGAGAAGTTTGATAAATAGCCTTTATTCTAAAAGTTCATCAAGTCACTTTTATCTTTCAATTAAATCCCAAATTGCATATTTAGAAGTTTGATAAATTTAATTAATACACTTGATTGATGTATCTTTTTCTTGAAAATGTCTAGAGATTTCTAAACCATATCCAAAATTAAACTCAAGTAAGATTTACAAAAAGACATGTCTTAATGGGTGTTAACAACTGTGGAAACACAGAATAAAATATTTTATGCAGATTTGTGCTTACTCTGGAGTGATGCATAAAATGAACTTGCCAAAATCACAGCCTACTTACACTGTAAAAATCCATACAAGAATGTAGTGGAATCAACTAATCTATTCTCATTAACTCAGTGTAAATATACAAGTTTTTTTAATTTAATAAACGTTTACTGTTAATAACATTTCAATTTCTAGTTTTTATTTTCAGACCACTTAAAAACAAGTTTTTTTCTAACTTTTGACGATTAGTTGAATGAATGTACCGTACAAAGTTACCGTACGAGTTCAAAGAACTTATTAAATTTAATTTCTTAAGAAACATGATCAGCATATTAGCAGACTTCCCAGCATGCTTTGTTTAAAACTCTCCTGGCACTATACTTTTTTATAGTTTTAAGAAAACATAGAGGAAACTTGAGAAAAGTCATATTAGTCATTTGTCATAAGTCATTTGTTTTCACAATAATGAAAACATTGTGAACCATAATTTAGGTTAGTATTGAATTCAATACTGGAACAAAGTAGCTCCAACAGCAGCAGCTGCAAATCAAATTTGTTTGTAATGTTCATCAGTGTGACCTAACAATTGTCAGTTCAACCTAATATCTTAAACATATTGAACGTGTTTTTTTCAATAAACACAACGCAAAAAAAGACTTTAAACTAGATGTTGAACCTGCGTTCAGTTATTTTACATTTGTGAGGCAGTGCTGCACTTAAATTATTTAAGTTGAAACAGCTCAAAGTGATTTACAATATAGACATTTATCAAATTATAGTTACTGTATAACTGTGTATAACTAACATACTGAGCTTACACTGAGAACATGAATCACACAGATTGATGGAACACGAACGTAATGCCGCAACTGCTTTAAATTTACCACGGCAGAATTAGACTGTATGATGACTTCTAAGTAATATCCCCCTCAAAATCTGTCTTTCAAGTATCAAACACTCACCCCCTGTAGACTTTAAAGTTGGCTGGAAAATCTTTGTAGTTTCATCCTTGATGGAAAATGGCGGCTGTAGTCAGCAGGAGGCTTTAACATGCGCAAACCAACGCACACGCCTGCTAACGAGTTTAATAGAGGATTGAGATGCAAGTTGTGTATTTAGCCATATTTTGCGTGGAGATGAGTGTTTGTAACATACTGAGAAAACAGATGGAAAGTGGAGAAGTTTTTTATGGATGTTTTAATACTTTTCCGTTGTAGTCCATTGAAAATGAAATGAATTCAAGCTGACCGAACTCTCTACAGCCCCTGTTCAAACCTACAAATGCTGATTGTTCAATACTCAAAAGATTCACTTTAAGCAGCAGTTTCTTCTTTATGATGTAAGCTCTAACGTGAAAGCAATACTGCATAATATCAATGTACTGAGCAAGCACAGATCATGTGTCACCGCTTCTTTTCAGACGTTCATTTTTTCACTTCCCTTGCCAAGAAGCTGCATCTACCGACAATTCTGCCTTTTGAATAAAGTCATTGGACTGTACCAAGGGAAAGTGAGCAGTCAGTCAAATCCACTCTAGTGGTCTAATAACAAAAGCAAAAGTTACAATCCCGCGAGGCTGAGATTATAAATCATCTGATTTATGGTGACAACGCAGAGTGGGAAAACTCCAAACATAAGCAAACGCTGAGCCGGTGCTGAGGGAAGCTGTACGGCCCAGAAGACACTATACAGGATCATAATGCATGTGAAGACACAGCAGTGGAACTACAGTATCTGTATACCAAAAAACTGCTGATAATCTATCTCTCTCTCTCCTCACTGGAACGACATAGTTGCATTGTTCTCTATCTGATAACCCAATTATCTCCCTTGCACTGACTCAGATAGAGATCACTGTCAGCGCAAACACACTTAGGATGATAATCTACAAT